ACAGTTACATGAACTTGCAGACATTCTTTAACACAGGGAAAGTACATTTCTTACCTAAAAAACCCTATTTCTTTCACTCCCAACACCCTCAGACCAATACACATCCTCACTGACAGTACTGATATGTTCTTGGAAGTGCTTGGATATGTAAGTTTGGTGCTACAACATGATAAAAGATGTTAAAACCAGTATTATCCCCTACCCCCAAATTGTGATTTCCCCAAGAAATTCCATTTTGACTTATGAATGGGCAAGTGAGAGTCTGGGAGTGTTTGGTGATGGCTGGCAGAAGGGAAAATTAGAAAACTGAGTACCTCGGGATGTGTTGTTTATCTTTCACCTTTCACTAGCATTCCTCCCCAGTATTTGCTGTTTCTGATTCAAGTTGGTTGTGGGGCTCAGAAGCCCACAAGAGTTTGTTTTTTCTCCCCATTGTATTCTTTAACTTAGTAAAAGACACTGTCTTTGCAATTCAGCTCCCCTCTGTATTTCTTTTAGGTTAATCATTGTTTTTTGAGAACCTAAGGCCTTGGTAAAAACAAGTTTTTAACAATGTAATGTTAAGCAGATGAAAATTAGTATCTCAAAGAGTTTTTTTCTAATGTAAAGTCCAGAGTCTTTGAGCATTCCAAAGGAATGCCAAGGTTTTGGCAAGTGAACTATAAGTCACTTCAATATTGTTATTTCCTTGTGTTTCCTTCAGCTTCTAACTCAGTGACACCTGAGTTTCCTCATCAGCTTTGAAAAATAAATGTAAGAAGTAGGTGATCATTTAAATCTTGAGTTTATAGGTTGGTAAGATGAATTACAAGGCACTTAAAATATTTGGGAAGGGTCACCAGTTTCATACTGGGAAGTCTCTTATCTTTAAGGCATGTGGCAAAACTTGTTCTGCATTTACCAGAAAGCAGCTTTTACAGTAAAGTATATGACGAGCTGAATTAGAATTTAGTTTGGTTTTGGGGCAGAGATTTTCAAGGTGCAAAAAGAGAAACTGTCAAAGGTCACCTAACAGAGAAGCTTATCAGAACCTCTGCCAACAGGCTGTAATAAAACAACCAGCCACCCTGCTGTACCTATTACCCTGAAAAAAGAAGAGTTCAGGGGTTTCTTGTTGGTTGGGTTTGGTTTTTTTGTTGTTGTTGTTTGTTTGTTTGTTTTTAGGGTTTATTTGTGTATGGGTTTTTTTTAAATTTATATGCCATTTGATAAAAACGGGCTTATAATACTAAATCTGAACTTGGTTTGTTCTTTTAGTTCATAAGGGACTTCTCTTTCCACACAAGTTGGGTGTCACTGTGCACTGAAAACCAGTGGTGCTTCTTCTAAGGCAGTTAAAAATTCGACTTAATAGACTTTGCAGCCAATTTTCTATGGCATTTCATAGAAGATGATCCTGGTTAAGAAAGACAGGGAGTGGAATATCCCACCCTTTCCTTGACAGGACTGAAGGCTCTAGTTTGCAAGAGCGTTGATGGTCACAGGTTGTTCACAGGTGAGTAGGACTGCAGAGGGCAGGGAAGGGGCTTAGGTTGCAACCCTTGTGTGTGGAATGACACCACCCTAAGAGCCCAAATTTGAGTTAGAGACTGGAGTCAAGCTTATGGCAGTCCAACAGAGAGAAGCCTGAAGACACTGGCCTCCCAAGTAAAAGGAAAATGCAACTTCTAATTCTCTATGCAAGAGGAAATAGCTCATATTTATTCTTTAAGAATTCCAGTTAAAGGCGTAAGCAAGTGATTGCTAAGAAGAGATCTGAGTCAGGTTTTTCTACGTCAAACAAGGCACAAAGTTGCAACTGCTACCTCACACCAGAGAACAATAATACCCTTAAGTTAATTTTGAGACTATTTTCTTTGTTTTACTTCCCTGACGAAGTAAAACGAAAAAGAAACCACCTTTAGAAAACAACTGCTGAAACAAAACCTAGATTTTATGCAGTTGTAGATATGACAAGTCTTGGCATATCTGTGAAAAAAATGGGGGAAAAAAATCAAGTAAATAATGGTCTTCCTTCTTCAGGCCTTACTCTGCCCCACTCCACTCCATCCCACCCTACTCCACTCCAGACAGCATTCCTTGCCCATAGTGTGGCTGGAACACAAATCTCACTGAAAATTACCTGATGAAGGCTTTTTTTCAGTATAAACCTCATGCAGTAAAGGATATTAAAAATATGGCACAATGTAACTGTTCAGGTCGTTCATGACCCCCAGGTACACAGAGGCAGGTTTGGCATTATTGGGTTAAAGTTGTGACCCAAAAGACATAATCAGAAGTGTCTGTTTGTAGCAACTGCTTATAGTTAGGGGGAACTTAGCTACTAAAGAAAATGGGGATAAACTCGTCTGAGAATGAGAGGCCTGGTCATTCAGTATTTTCCACCTGATTCAAAGAAGTGAAGCAAGAGAGATTTACACCCCCTCCAACCTCTTTCCAGTGTTGGAGAACCAATGACTGGTGTCTGTTTGGTGCATTTCCAGCACTTTTTTATTCTAACACCTAAAAAATGCAAGTTAGAACTGAATACTTAAACATTTGCTCCTAAATAATTAAAAGTACAGGAAAATAAGGAGTCTAGTAACCATGGCAGTGTTGGATCAAGGGTTGAACTTATTTCAGAGGTCTTTTCCAACCCGGTTGATTCTGTGATTCTACAAATTAAAAAGTGATATCTTCTGATTAGTGCAAGACTTTCAGATCCAAGGCTCCTCAGTTCTGTATCTTAGTCACGCATTGCACAGCCCCAAGGTTGTTGAAATATTTTACTGCTTGAATATCCCCAAAAATAGTTGTTCAGTTGTGATGCACTGCCCACTGAATCCTGCCCGTCTTTCCTTTTGACTCCCTTTTGGATTGCGTTTAGACTTTGTTCCATTAAAGAAAAGCAATCATGCCTCGGCAGAAAGCTTTGGAGTTTATTATAGAACAGGTGAGCGGCGAGCATTTGATTACATTGGCTGTGATCCCACTTGTGTGAGGGATTTGCAGAGGCCGAGGTGGAACACTTGCAGCCTCGCCCCTGTTTAAATCAACGAGGTCTTCCCGCCAAAAGGCCAGTTCCACGAGTGGGAAGAGCACTGCAAGGAGGTGGAAACTCAGCATGGGGGCTTGGAATTACCTTTGGCATTTCACCTTCTCCCTTTTTCTCTGTAAGTTAAAATCTATTTGATTATTTGCCACTGCTATGTATTTGGAGGATGTCCTTGAGATACGTTTGAAACGATAATCAGGGAGAGAGGGGGGGTGCATGGCTAAAAATAAACATAAAATACAAAAGCATGCACTATTTACAGTTATTTGTTTTTAATTTAGCTTGAATATGTAGTATTTCATCAGGTATTTTAGCAGGGATATAAAGCTGTAAGTAGTTCGAAGGAGGAGAGCTAAGTATTCAGAAAACTCATCTAAAAGATGAAACATGCAGTGTCTGACCAGATTTTTTTTAACCTTAAGCTTAGTTACGAGACCACTAAATTATATATTTTGCCAATTTTTCCTCCTCTGAAAGACTCTCCAGGAAAAGACTCATAAAAAACATGGACTAGGTTGTATTAATTGTGCTGTGTTCTTACTGCACTGTAAGAGTTTTTTGAAATATCTGGAAATTCAGAGGCTGCATTATTTTATCCTTGCTGTCTTGTTTCATGTCATTCAATGCAGATGAACACAAGTTTCTTGAGTGATCAGCACTTGCTGTTAACAATCTGAGGGATACAACCACGAGGGTCTTAAAATTCAAACTGTATTTGCGTGCAGAAAAGATATCAGTCTGTAGGAGGAATTTTGCAAAGTATGTATTGCTACATTACAAGTTTTTATGTATATACCAAACAATAAGAAAAAAACACCCCACTTCAATTTTACGGGTAGGTAGAGTCAAAAGAAGTTAATTACTGTGGTTCTTAAGAATTTGAGCTACTCCAGTATAAATTCTCTGAGAATCCTTTTAAGTTTCATACAGCCAAAGCCCCAGGATAATAACTAAGTGTTGCTAAGGAGTAAAACTGGCATGAAACAGAAGACTTATGTCTGTGTTTTTAGCAGGAACAAAGCCACTCCTCAAAATCAAGGTTAAACTACTTCATCAAGTAAATGAAATGAGCCAAAATTGGCTTGACTATCTAATCACAACAGAAAAAGGATTTGATTTTCCCTTTAAAGAAATTCTGTGAGAGTTGGAAATGTCATCTTTACACTTGCAAACTAAAGAAGTTATGATTCATTTATAGTTAGAGATACAGGTAAACACAGGAAGGCAATGAATTTTTTCACAGGATTATTATGATTTAGGATATCAACAGAAAGATAGGCACAGAAAAATCTTTCTATCCTGCCTGACAACCAGTAAATAAGAAAGGCAGAAATGCCTTGCAAAATGAAAAAATGGAAATAATCAAATATGCATAAACAGCTAAGGAGAAAATTATGCTGAAAAATGCATTCCATTCATTTTTAATATTCCTTGTTAATTCTCTAGAAATTTTACTTTACAGAGATCATAGGGTGATCAAATAATTTAGGTTGGAAAAGACCTTTAAGATCATCAAGTCTAAACTTAAACTTACCACTGCCAAGTCCACCACTAAACCCTGCCCTAACTGTAAATGAAATAATATTTACAGGAAGAGAAAAACTCTAAAAAAAATTGAAAAAATATGTAGATTAGAAACAGCAAAACATATACAAAGGAAATATAAATCTCTAAATTTATGCAGAAAAAAAGTATTACCAGGAAATCAGTAAGGTAAAAAGCTCCTTAAATGTATGCAAATGGAAAAGGAAATAACGTAGAAATTTCATAGTAGTTAAGAAATAGCAAAGAAAACATGAAACTAGAAATGGGGAGGGAAAGGAATAACAATGAAGATGAGAAAGATAAGTGAACTTGTCACGCAGGAATGAAATTACACTTGGTAGACTATTGAAGTGCTTCACAGGAATAGAGGGTAAATATCCATAATCCACATTTTTAAAATGTGACAGGTACCAAGACCGGAATGACAGAGGGAAGAAATGTAACGACTGCCACCGCTCAGATCCACATAAAGGGCTCTGTGAGCACAGAACCAGGTGGGACAGCTGGCCTGGCTGCACACAACTCCAATGCCACCACGGCTGAGCCCACTGCCACGACAGCCCCTTCCCTCCTGGACACATCCTTTCTGTCCCCCTCCACGATGAGGATGGTGGGTGGAGAAGGGAGGACAGAGACTGAGCCCACAGGGCCAAATGGGGAAGGGAGCTCACCGGGGACACCTGCCAGGAGTGATGTGGTGAGCCCAGCCACCCCTACAGCAGGTCCTGCCGCCACTGCCACTTCCATGGGCACGGGGAGTGTCACTGCTTCCTCCCTGCCCAGCTCGGCAGTGACCAGCCACTCCTTGTCCTCTCCTGGTGGCCCCACAGCTGCAACTCCCAGTCCACAGCAAAGCAGCACCAGCAGCACCGCTGAGGAGCACTTGGCCACCACAGCCCACCCGTCCACAACACTCGTGGTCTCCACTCTGTCCTCCACTTCTGGCATTACGAGTGTTCAGTCGGCTGCTGTGACAGCAGGGCACATGACACACAGCCCAACTACCCCCAGGACAGTGGCTTCCACCTCTGGCACCTCTCCTGCCTCAGATACCACCGAGGCCATCCTTTCATCCACCCCGGGCGGCAGCACGGAGACATCGGCAGCTCAACACACCTCTGCACCCCTCACACAGGGACAAGCCATGCTGGAGGCAGGGACCACTCCATCTTCCATGGGGAGTCCCTTGTCTCCCACGGCCACGGCCTCCACAGGCAACAGTGCCACGACTCCTCCTGGAGAAGGGGAAAGTCCCACCATCAACCAGGGGAGTGGAACAACAGATGATCCCAGTGCTGAGACCTCCCGTTCCCTCCCTGATACATCCTTGGCGACCCCGTCCACACCGAACCTTAAAATGTCGACGTCTGTCAATCCTTCTGTTACTGGAACTTGCTGTGAGTATTTTAACACATGATACTAAATGTAATTTTCTCTATTTTTGGAAGAGTCGAGCATAATTTCATTTTTGCTATTTTTGGTTGGAATTTGAGCTTTCAACAAGGTCTTTTTTAAGTTGGGAATTTAAGCCAGGAGTATGAATCCCTGCCTCTACATGCTTTTCTCAGAGGCTGCAGCTGCTGTCTGCAGTTGTTTTTGAAATGGCACACCTTGTGTTTAAGCAGTCTGGTGTGCCACTGATGTAAAATGCTATGTAGTTATGCTGCATAGGTCAAGTTATGCTAGTGGGAAGTTTTACTGGTTTTTGTTTGAGTTTCGAAATTCTCTTTTTTGAAATACTAGAGGTAGTTCCTTCACTGAGAGAATTCTATTGAATTTATTTGTGCTAACTCAGTTCCTGTTTGTTTCAATAGTAATTCTTTTCTGGTGTATCTTTAGTTTTTTACCAAAGGGCTATCTGCTGACTTCAAAGAATATGCAGTGATGAATCTTTCATCATTTTTAATGGATAAAAAAGCAAAGAGAAAAGAGGAGAATGCAGTCTTTTTATATTCTGCACCAAAAAAAAAGAAAAAAATTGGTGGTATGATCTTCATTTTTAGTGCATAATAGTATTCTAATTCTACAAATCTAATGGGTTAATCCGTCCTGGATTTGGAGTCTTAGTGCTTTCATGGAATTCAACAGGAGATACACACTTGCACGTGATGAGGTATAACTTGTTTTTTCACAAAGGCTCAATGGCAGGGCAGACCAGTGATGAGTGGTGTCATCAGGGGCCTATTTTGGGTTTAACATCTTTGTGGGTGACAAGGACAGTGGGATCAAGGGCACCATCAGCAAATTTGCTGATGACACTAAACTTGTGTGGTGCAGACAACATGCTGGAGGGAAGGGATGGCATCCAGAGGGACCTGGACAGGCTTCAGAACTGGGCCTGTGTGAACCTCATGAAGTCCAGCAAGGCCAAGTGCAAGATCCTGCGTATGGGTTGGAGCAATCCTAAGCACAAGTACAGGCTGGGTATGAATGCATTGAGAGCAGCCCTGCTTGGGGGTGTTGATTCACATGTTGTTGAAGCTCAACGTGACCCAGCCACACGCACTGGCAGCCAAATGTGTCCTGGGCTGCGTCAAAACCAGTGTGGGCACTAAGGCAAGGGAGGGGATTCTGCCCCCCTGCTCTGGTGAGACCCCACCTGCAGAGCTGCCTCCAGCTCTGGGGTCCCCAGCACAGGAAGAACATGGAGCTGTAGGAGCTGGTCCAGAGGAGGCCATGAAGATGATCAGTGGGCTGGAAGACCTCTGTTATGGAGACAGGTTGAGAGAGTTGAGATGGTTCAGTCTGCAGAAGGCTCTGGGGAGACCTCAGAGCCCCTTCCAGTATCTAAAGGGCACCTACAAGAGGGACTTTGTACAAGGGCGTGTAGTGACAGGACAAAGGAGAAAGGCTTTAAAATTAAAGAAGGTAGGGTTAGAGTAAATAATGGGAAGAAATTCTTCCCTGTGAGGGTGGTGAGGCCCTGGCACAGGTTGCCCAGAGAAGTTGTGGATGCCCCATCCCTGGAAGTGGTCAAGGCCAGGCTGGATGGGACCCTGAGCAGCCTGGACTAGTGGAAGCTGTCCCTGCCTGTGGCAAGGGGGATGGAATTAGGTGATTTTTCAGGCCCCTTCCAACCCATTCTGTGATTCTGTGATATGATTCTGTGTTTCATATCTTTATAAAAACATTACAGAAACTTAAATTTTTTCTTAGGCAATCACTTTCTTATAAGTACTTTATTCCTTAAAGACACACAGACCGTAACTACATGTTTCACAGGAATTTCCTTTTTGCTTTTTAGCTCCTATCACTCTGTCCATCCAGCTGGAGAACGTGACCAGTACAGTGATACAGTTCAGCTGGAAACCTCAAGGTGGCACAGGAGACAGTCCTTACACAGTGCTTCTAAGGGGAAAATCAGGAGAGATGGAGAGGAGAATCCTAAATGGAACAAGTACTGCATTTGAAAATCTGCTTTCTGGTCAGCAATACCAAATATCCGTGGATGTTTCAACTTGCTCTGAGAATGTCAGCGCCTCCTTGACTGTTCAGACAGGTATTTCCTCAGGAATCTTTTCCTCTTCTGTTGGCAAACTAACACATTCATTGGCCTTAAAATGAAGCCCTTTTTCACTGAGCACCTACCTGGACATCAATAGGCAAAATCAGGCCAAACTTTCAGACACTTAAAGTCAGCCTGCAAATTTTTCATTGGACTAAGATCTAAAGCTTCACTTGCCCTCCTGCCAAATTAAAAACTTGACTGAACTAGAACGACAGTGGTTCAATGTTCTAGTCTCTCCCAGCTCCATACACTTTAATTCCAAAGCCTTACTTAGCTGAGGAACAATTTTTAAATAATAGCTAAATTTTGTCTGGTTATTCTGTCTTGCATATCCCCACAGCTGCTGAAGTCTACAGTGGAACCACTAGGATTACCAATGAAGAGTTCAAGCCTGAATATCAGAACAAATCAAGTAGAGAATTTCAGGAGTTTGAAACTAAGTTCATTACAGAGGTATTTTGCTTAGGAATTCTAAACTAAGATTTATTTTTTGCTGAGCTCTTCCTAACGTAAATAATCAGGAGGATCTGGGCATGAATAATTTTAAATGTGGAAAAGGAAAGTTTGTGTGATGGTTAGAAATGAAGCAGTACTTACTAAGGTCTTACTTTATAGTGTAGTCCTCTGAGGTCCTGATTTAACTGAAATTCTGTCTGGGGTTTATACACATTCCCCTACTGTGAGAGGTGCTTCTAAACTAACCATGGCCAGCAGATTGCTCTGAGAACTCTTTTGCTATACGAGAAAAATAGTTAATAAGTTAAACCTTTTGCCTTGCAGATAACAAAACATCTGCCGCAGAAGATACAAGAATTAAAAAATGGAACAAAAATGCGTATTGTAATTAATAGCATCAAGAATGGCAGTGTGATTGTGCTCTATGACATTGTGTTTGATGAAGGACAAAATGTAACAGAACCAGAGATTTCAGATGCTTTTACAGAGGCCCTTAACAAGAGTACAGAATTTGAAGTCGACCCTCAAATGACTGCCATAGAAGGTATGAATTTGTTCATCACTGTGAATTCAATCAGCAGTGTATATTTCACTGATGGTAACATCCAGTGAAATGGGATCTGGGTGCAGAAAATTAAATAGTATTTAGTTTATCTATCTCTTTTCCCAATGCTAATTAAAACATTCTTCTTTTTCTGTTTTGTTCAACTTCACTGTAGCAAGGAATAGTTGTCAACCAGATTTAAATGACTGTTCCCAAAATGCCACCTGCATTGCTGAAGGAGCCACTTATTCCTGTCAATGCAAGGAAGGATTCACAGATAAGAGTCCTCAAGTTCCAGGGAGAGTTTGTCAGCAGGATCTGCCTTCACGTAAGCACTTTATATAAATTAAAAAAACTCCAACACAAAACCAAAACCAAAACTTAAAAAATTTGCATATAAGGTCTTTTCCCTCCCCTGACTCCTTAGGTAATAGTTCATTATATTTACTCGCAATGGCCTTCGGTGGATTGGATTTTATGTGAGAATGGGTACCCCAGCTGAATATTTAGGCCAAAACAGAAGCAAATTTTCTGGGCCTGTTTTTTGAAAGTTGTTTATGTAATTAAATAGCATAAACTCAGTAAATTTTAAAATAAGTTCAACTCACCGCCTCCAAATTTCTGTTTTGAAGAACAGACAACTCCAGTCCCTGCAGAAACTGATACAACTGGTTTTACAGAACAGATAACTCCAGTCCCTTCACAAAATGAAACAACTGCAGTTACAGCACTGACAACTACAATCCCTCCAGCAAATGATACAACTGGATTCACAGAACTCACAACTACTATCCCTCCAGCAAATGAAACAACTGGATTCACAGAACTCACAACTACTATCCCTCCAGCAAATGAAACAACTGCAGTTACAGCACTGACAACTGCAATCCCTCTAGCAAATGAAACAACTGGATTCACAGAAATCACAACTCCAGTCCCTTCACAAAATGATACAACTGGATTGACAGAGATCACAACTGCAGTCCCTCCACAAAATGAAACAACTGCAGTTACAGCACTGAGAACTACTATCCCTCCAGCAAATGAAACAACTGGATTAACAGATCTCACAACTCCAGTCCCTCCACAAAATGAAACAACTGGATTGACAGAAATCACAACTCCAGTCCCTCCAGCAAATGATACAACTGGAGTTACAGCACTGACAACTACAATCCCTCCAGCAAATGATACAACTGGATTGACAGAACTCACAACTCCTGTCCCTCCACAAAATGAAACAACTGGATTCACAGAACTCACAACTCCAGTCCCTCCACAAAATGAAACAACTGCAGTTACAGCACTGACAACTACAATCCCTCCAGCAAATGACACAACTGGATTCACAGAACTCACAACTCCAGTCCCTTCACAAAATGAAACAACTGGATTCACAGAACTCACAACTCCAGTCCCTCCACAAAATGAAACAACTGCAGTTACAGCACTGACAACTACAATCCCTCCAGCAAATGACACAACTGGATTCACAGAACTCACAACTCCAGTCCCTTCACAAAATGAAACAACTGGAGTTACAGCACTGACAACTACAATCCCTCTAGCAAATGAGACAACTGGATTCACAGAACTCACAACTACTATCCCTCCAGCAAATGAAACAACTGGATTGACAGAACTCACAACTCCTGTCCCTCCACAAAATGAAACAACTGCAGTTACAGCACTGACAACTACAATCCCTCTAGCAAATGATACAACTGGATTAACAGAACTCACAACTACAATCCCTCCACAAAATGAAACAACTGCAGTTACAGCACTGACAACTACAATCCCTCCAGCAAATGATACAGCTGGACTCACAGAACTCACAACTACAATCCCTCCAGCAAATGATACAACTGGATTGACAGAACTCACAACTCCTGTCCCTCCACAAAATGAAACAGCATTGACAACTACAATCCCTCCAGCAAATGACACAACTGGATTGACAGAAATCACAACTCCAGTCCCTCCAGAAAATGAAACAACTGCAGTTACAGCACTGACAACTACAATCCCTCCAGCAAATGATACAACTGGATTCACAGAACTCACAACTCCAGTCCCTTCACAAAATGAAACAACTGGAGTTACAACACTGACAACTACAATCCCTCCAGCAAATGAAACAACTGGAGTTACAGCACTGACAACTACAATCCCTCCAGCAAATGATACAACTGGATTCACAGAACTCACAACTCCAGTCCCTCCACAAAATGAAACAACTGCAGTTACAGCACTGAGAACTACTATCCCTCCAGCAAATGATACAACTGGATTAACAGATCTCACAACTCCAGTCCCTCCACAAAATGAAACAACTGGATTGACAGAACTCACAACTCCAGTCCCTCCAGCAAATGATACAACTGGATTCACAGAACTCACAACTCCAGTCCCTCCACAAAATGAAACAACTGCAGTTACAGCACTGACAACTACAATCCCTCCAGCAAATGACACAACTGGATTCACAGAACTCACAACTCCTGTCCCTCCACAAAATGAAACAACTGCAGTTACAACACTGACAACTACTATCCCTCCAGCAAATGAAACAACTGGAGTTACAGCACTGACAACTACAATCCCTCCAACAAATGATACAACTGGATTGACAGAAATCACAACTCCAGACCCTCCACAAAATGAAACAACTGGAGTTACAACACTGCCAACTACAATCCCTCCAGCAAATGATACAACTGGATTCACAGAATTCACAACTACAATCCCTCCAGCAAATGATACAACTGGATTCACAGAACTCACAACTACAATCCCTCCAGCAAATGAAACAACTGGATTGACAGAAATCACAACTCCAGTCCCTCCAGCAAATGATACAACTGGAGTTACAGCACTGACAACTACAATCCCTCCAGCAAATGATACAACTGGATTCACAGAACTCACAACTGCAGTCCCTCCACAAAATGAAACAACTGCAGTTACAGCACTGACAACTACAATCTCTTCAGCAAATGATACGACTGGATTCACGGAACTCACAACTACATTCCCTTCAGAAAATGAAACAACTGGAGTCACAGCACTGACAACTACAGTCCCTCCAGAAAAGGAAACAGTTGGATTTACAGGATCAACATCTAATTCCATTTTTACTACCACATTTCCATCACCACCTTGCAGTAAGTAAATATTTGATATTGAATTGTAGAATAAAAATTATCCAAACAGATACAATGTTCTTGTTCATCAGTTATATCAGCTGCGAGGTAAAATCCCAGGATATGACTTTTAAAGGGAAGCCTGATAGAACCACTGAAAATACATAATTATATATATATCAGTCAAGTTTCTACTCCTTGGTAAAGCTCTCCTGAGCCCCTGGGTGCCTGCCTACAGGAACAAACCACTGTCAAAGTTGGTTTTTCTCAATCTTATCATGAAGCACCTTTATTAAATGCCTCCCTACTGCTCTGAATTTAGGATTTTCTGGTGGCATTTTAGTATTCCATAACCTGATGATATCAGTATGAGTCAAATAGCAGTCCACATCAGAACACTCTTATTTTTCCCATCCAGCCTCATCACTTCTTCACAATCTTAAACCAACACTGTATGATTCTGGCCATTTACCACACCTTACCTGCAGTTAGAAAGACTAGAAGCAAGTGGAATGTTACCCATTTGTGTTTTGGAGCCATCAAACAAAGTATATTAACGTATAATTTACATTTATAGAGCAAAGAGTTTATTTCTGCTCTTGTGGGAGAGCAAGGCGTAAAACTGAAATCAGCTCCAAGAAAACTCACAAAAATTTATATTGGTTTAATTGTTCATTTTTTTTCTTTAATATTAAATGTGTAGAAGTGTAGAAGGGAGATGAACCACCCTCAGCTGTATGGAACATTTTCACTTTGCAGTGCCAGTGTCCATCGAAATTCAGAATGTGACTGGAGAAGAAATACAACTCAGCTGGACCGGTGGCAGCCCAGGCAGCCTCTACAGCATCTCCCTCATGGATGGAAAGCAGGAGATAAATAAAACTACCACAAAAGAGACAAAAGCTGTGTTTAAACATCTACTTCCTGCCCATACATACACCATATATGTGGGAGTGTCATCCTGTGCTGAGAATAACCGGACTTCAGTTACTGTCCAAACAGGTACTTCCTCAATCAACCCATAATCTCTTTTTAATTAAAATACACACGCAGTATCATGATACAGTATCATCTGGATTTGATCTCATAGACTCTTGTTCCTGTAAGTCTTTTTTTATTTATTTGACTCACAGGACTACTTCAATTCAACAGCCGTTTGCGAGAGCAAGTGCTGGCTCTGTAAAATTTCTGACCATGCTGTGTTGTTGAGCCAGAAAATTCCATACAAAAGTCAGGATATTTTGGCTGTAAATTTAACAGAAAATATTTTGGTAATGTGAAGTTCAGGTTGTACGTGCCTTTGTGAATGCAGACAGTCCTTAGTTGTCACAGTTGTCTTTTTAATTTCTCCCTTGGATACAGACATTAAGACAGACTGTCTAATTGTGTCCCTGTACTAAAACTGGTTCTCAAGGAACACAACACATCATATCCCTCTAAATCAAGGTTTCTCCTTTAAAAGCTCCCCATTGCCATCTCCTCTTCAGCCAACTCCTTTAGACAAATCTTTTTCCAAATTACCACTTGGCACTGTATAATATTGCCTTTCCATCATTGTAAGAGATCTAAAAGTCAGCCCGTCAAAGGAAGCTACCAGGTTATTTTGGCATGATCCATATTTGATAAAACTGTACTGCACTTTATCATATTTTCCCAGTGGCTGAGAAAATGTTCACAATTTCTTTTAATATCCCTTGAAAGATCTAACTTGACTTTTGGCAATCGTTACTTTCTTCCAGCATTTCTTGACCTCTAGCTGTCCTTGTTGCAACCCCTTTTTCAGTTCTCTAGTGGATTGTCTGATTATTTTCAAAACCCTTCTAGGGCAATTATTCTGACAGTTAACTGGGGGGTTCCTTCTAATGGACTTACCCTCTATCTTAGTCTTTAGGACCACAGAACCAAGGAACTGTCATCATAATTTCCATTGGAATCTTTCAATACTTCAGTCCACTGGCTTTCATTTATTAGTTTCCCTACTAAAAGAAAAGTTCAGTAAAGACCAAGTCATTTGTATTGCATGTGAAGTTAAAGATTATGCTCAATTCTGTGAGGAGAGCTGGAGCTATACCCAATGAGTTAACCACATAAAACCTGTTGTGCCACCCTTAACTGCTGTTTTGACCCACTATAAATAATTCAGATTAGCCAGTCTGGACAGGCATTCTGAGGTTTTAAGACTCCATGATCCATATTGTTTCCAAATTAAATTCCAGATGACTTTTACTGCTGAAAACTCCATCTAGTTTACCTGAGTTGTACAAACACGTAACAGTACAACCTGTATCTTTAGCTCTCATAAGAAATCAGGGTTCTCAATGCTATTTCAGTAAAGCTCTCAAATACCACCTGCCCACCCACCACCTGTCTCTCTTTTGATATGCTCCATTTTTATAATTTGCAGTTCTAAGTTCTCACTGGGCCAAAGAAACTGCTGCTTAGGTGATTCCTTGGCCATGATTAAACACTTTCACCTATTCCACAATTTTCTTATTGGCAACAACCACACATGCACAGAAGCGATTATCTTGATTTTTAAACTTATTTCCCAGATCCTGTTTCCTGCTTCAACCAAGCTGAGTTCTGTTTACCAGAAAATACTGACTGTTCTGACTTAAAAGACATTGTATGCTCTGGTAAGTTTATAGAATTTTAACATTTGTTTATTCGTAACTATGGGATATTATTTCACAATATAGTATCTTTCCTGAGTATTTTGCCATCTGCTTTATTATGTTAAGTCACACAACATCTGAAGTTCACACTTCTTTGGTAAAGAAGCTGCTTTCATCAAACTTCAGTGTCAGCTTTCAGCCCTATTTTTATCCTGGTCTTTTCTATGTAAAGCTTTCTTCTTTTGGCTTGGGGCTCATCCACCTACTCAGGAGGATTTAAACACACTCTGTGCCTTGCAGAATCCAGCAGACTGATGTTACTTCTGCTGAAATCAATGGGAGAGTGGCTGTTGAATTAGGGAGTGGGATGCACCCTGAATAATACAGGAATGATGAACAAGTTGTGAGGATTGTGATGGCTGACACACCTGAAGAGATTCAGCTCTGAAGGTTCCAAAGTCAGTGCATAAGACACACATGATACACCTTCTTATTATTTGATTTGTTTCTGTGTTTATCAATTAGTATTATAAACATATGAGGTAATAAAGTCCAAAAAGCAATTGTGGAGGGACACCCTGGGATTCACCTGATTGTTTCTTTTTTTTTTTCCCCCAGGTAACCAAGCATTTGCCTGCAGGGTTTTGTTAAAAAACCAGACATTTAACAATGCACTTTATAACTCTGATAGTGAAGAATACAAAGCAATGGCTGAGAGTATCAAAACAGATGTAAGTTGATCAATCTTCTCTGTCAACATGAATGAACTAAGAAAAGGTTTGCTATGAGCAACCTCAGTCTCCTTAATTAATTGTTAAATCAAGACTGTGACAGGTGAAAAAGATAATCCCTCCTTGATAAAACTGTGCAGGAAGCACAAGGACTGCCAAGGAGAGACAGCTTGTTGCCAATGAGGAGGGGTATGTTCCCTAAGTCATCCCCAAATTAAAATTATTTAGTGAAAGGCGCTTAAAAATTCTATTTTTATAAGTACAAGGAACATCCTGTTCTTTTTATTTTCTCCCACCTTACTAAATCTATGCCTGTGGAGATGGAAAAAAAGAATAGTACTCAAAAATAACATTTCAACACACACTTGGGAATATGGGACCTTTACAAGCATCTACTGCGAGTCCAGATCACTGGCAATTTGCTTCATGGTAGTGGCTGCAGGACTGGAGAAGGTATCAAAGGGTCCATATCAGGGGAGAAATGAGGAGAAAAAGTGGTACCTTAGAGCTGGTAAAGCTGACAGGCAGAAGCAGCAGTCTGCCACTCAGCTGCCTTTAACAGCATGTTAAAGAAAGGGACTAACAACTTAAACACCTCTCAGGAATCCTGATGTACATAAGCCTGCTGGGAAGGTAAAACTACTGTAAGGTTGGGGTAGACTTCTTTAAATAACTAATACAGAAGATTATTTTTAGTGTGATGATCATACCCTTTTAGCTAAGAATCTCCACAGATTTCATAAGCGGTAATTAATTTGTTCTCACCACGCCAACTCAAGGGTAACCTTGTCTTATGACTGCTAGCATCTCCCTTTCACAGATAGAAGATTTAAAAGTGGATTTAAAAGGCTTCCTCCAACATGACTGAATGCAACAGGAATCCCTTTACAGGCTTTTAATAAGCTTTTCCCTTGTGCCACGTGTCAGCTTTTCTTTGAAAAAGGCAAAATCAAAGGGAGGCTGTTCTAACATGACTGGAAACACAGTCAATTTCTGTGTTGATTTTTTTTTTTCTTCAGTTTGAACTATTTATTTTAAATTCCACAGTGCTCCAGAGTTGTAGTTCTGAAATTTTACACCTTCACCTGCATAGGTCAAGTTTCCTATCTTGTCTGCTCATCGTGGTGAGGGAAAGAAAAGTATTTTTGGAGTTTCTGACCAAAGAACTTAATGTAACATGTAGTTTTGGGTGGGGGTTTATCCCACAGAGAAAGATGGAAGTAGATAACTGAGCAGTGACTTAGAAAAAGGCTTGTTACCATCCATGAAAAGTAGTAATCTTTCAGACTTTTCGGGTAAAATACCATATTCATCCACAGCGAGAAGATAACTTCTCTTACTGGGTTGAACCAAACAACTGATTTTCCGTAACGATCAGTCCTGACAGAAACATTTCAACCAGTCTTATTTAACAGAGGGGACTGCTTGTTCTTGTTCTATATCCAAAATAAAGCACTGGGCAAGGCTGTACTTTCAGAGACATCGGTGCAGCTGATTTGATTTTACTTGGTGTAATGGGATTACACTTGGTTTATGTCAAAATGACTGAGAGGCAAATCACATCCTTGTCTCTCTTTGCATAGTTATTCTGTAACATCATGATTTCGATAAAAAAATATGTTTTATACCTCTCACATCAAGTTCTGTGCTGGTAGTGTGTGCAGGACCATGCCTGAAGTTTAGTTGAACGTGTTAAAAATGTTGGGGGACACTGAAGATAACTTTAGAAACTAGGTGCACTTTGTAGATTCCCAATTTTGTGCAGTCGGGGTCTCACATGGGTTTGTGGAGGAGGACAACTGGTTTCAATGCATTATTCATTGATAACAACCTAAACAGATTGGTGCTTGGGAAGTCAAACTTAGATTTTATACTTTCAATCACAGACCATGCATTGTTCCGTAATCCTCCTTCAGTAAGTTTTTTATTTGTTATTCCAAGGTCATTATCCTGAAACAAAATGAATATCCTGATATGTGTAGGATGTGCGCATTCCTGCTCTGCCCCAGTTGAGTGACACGTGGAATAAATATCCCCTTCAATTTGCACAGGTTGTTAGAGAAATGCGCCTCGAACTGAAGGATGAACGCTTCAATGTCACTGTGCTTGGGTTCAGACCTGGCAGTGTGATTGCTGATTTTATTTCTCTGCTGCCAAAAGAAGAGCCAGTAGATGTGAATCTTATACAGACCCACCTAAGCCAAGTATTAAAGCGCAAGTTTGGGAATGAAACTGAAGTAAATGTACAATGTAAGTGATGTTGAAACAGCTTCTCTGCGATGGTGTGGGGATTAAAGGGTCAGATCTCCTTCTCTTCACAAAAGCTGATAAATTAGCTTCTTTTTTTTTAAGAGATTGAAGTACCTCAGATAATCTTTTTAAACATTCACAGAACACATAGTCCAGCTATCATGGATTATGGAACTGTTTTAAAGTGTCACTACACATACCCAGTTCCAGACTTGAAGGATGGGTTCTCTTCACATAGAAGGAGGGTTAGGTGAGCTTTTTGTACCCTCCATGCTGGTCCTGAAAGATTGGCTTTTAATGGAGATGAGGATGAGGAGACTTGTTGTGTAGTGGCTCCTGCAATACTCCTCCCTGGATAAAGATGTGATGGAAGGGTGCACCCCTTTTCTTGGGCAACCCTCAAAAACCTTTGGACCCTGCTTCCCTGCCCGAGGCAGTTGTGGATTTAGCAACACAAAAGTACTGCAGAGATGCAGGGAGGCCGAGAGGGAAAGGACAAATTGTGCAGAAGGACACACATGCAAAACAGTGTCTGTCATGCTCATGGTTGTGGTAATGTGCTTATTGCCTTGAGCTTCTATGGCTCAGGGGCTTTTCATGCAACACAGAGGCTCCTCCTGCCACAGTCAAAAACCTTCTCTTTTTAAGTGCTGGCCAGCACTATAACACAGTCTGTGTGCCTTTCCACCACTGCTACACACATCTTTACCACACATGCTTATGTGCTACAGGCCTTCCATTGCCTTTATCTGGCTACCAGGAATCTTTCTGGTTTTGGCCTTTCAGTTCAAAGACTTTGATTTCAGTGGACTGTCTTGTGGAGCAAGACAAGGGTAGGTGTGAGTAGAGCTGGCAGACCAGCTCCCCATTCATTTCACAAAGTTGCTTGTATAAGGAGTGTATAAGGAAAGTATAAGGAGGACTCTGAGGGTTAAATTATGTACAGCTCCATTTCATGGCCCTTTTTCACACCTTGTTGAGGTACAGACTGGAGTTCTCCCAGAAATCCTCAGAGCTGCTGTTTATGGATGTCACCAAGAGATCACAAGAACCCTCAGAGAGAGAAGGGTCCATAAAACTTTCTAGTTAGCAAATCTTTACTACATACAAACCCCATTATTAATATTATTCAGAAGTTTCAAAGCTACCAAACAGTAAAACACAGCTGTCACATAGGGCTCCAAGCTTTCTTACACCCACTTTTTACTGTTTCTAGCTAACATTTCTAAAATGTGTTTTAAATTTCAGCCCTGTCCGTTCAGTCACCAACCGACGACAGTTCTGGCTGGAGAGTAGCAGTGATTGTCCTTGGAGTTTTACTTGGAGTTGCATTAGTGCTGATTCTTCTGGCAATAGTATTTTACATCTATATGAGGAAAAGGTGGGGTAAATACTTGGTTGAACCACAGGACTCATGGGAAATTTTCTCTAAAAGCACTTACAAGATGCACAATGTTTCATTTTTGGAATAAGGCAGAATATTAATATGTTTGTCTTAAAATTCTATGTCAATTGTTTATATTAACTTAATTTAATTCTACCTGCTCTTTCCCAATGTCCATCACCGAATTCCTGAGCTCCTAACAACCTCCAGTGAATCATCCTTTTAGCAGATATGGAGTGGGGAATTTTCCCCATAGTGGTAAAGTGAGGAGCAGAGAAACCTCTGTTCAACCTGTCCCCCAGAGGTATGACAATGACTCCCAACATCGATTTTCTAGAGAGAGAGGATCCAAACTACACAATACTTTCTTGTATTGTGCAGTTTGGATCTCAGAGTGACTGAGCTTGGTACCTGTGGCAGGTTACCTGAATTCTCAGCTGAGCCCAGAGTTGGGCTTTATGCACTTGACCAAGGGTGATTCACCTCCCCTGAGGTTTGTATCACCATATGAAGATGCCTCTTTCTCTCCAGTGGCTGCAGAACAAGCCACTGGAGTTTGTTAGGAGTTCGAAGAAAAAGGGGATGCATCTGGCTTATATGGACTTGCTGTAAAAGTCTCTGATGGAGCAGCAGATTGATCTGGAAGCTTCTGAATCCAAGGTTTCTTTAATTGTCAGGCTATGAAGAAGCAGCTGCCTTTCTGTGACAAATGTAAATCATGCTAAATACAGATGTAGTTTAACAGCATAGCCAAAACATGTTACTAGATAGGTTAATTTGAGCCAAAAGATTGTATTAATCTATTTTTGCCTGGCAAATGTGGTTGGTTGGTCAAGGGTGTGTCATGTAGTGCAATTTTACCTCAGTCTTGATAATCCCAAGGTAGAGCCCAGTAGGAGCAACCTGAAGGCTCCTGTGACACTGGAGCAGACCTTGTGCTTTAGAGCAATTAAAAGAAATGGCCTTTACCTGTTTTCACCACTGTTAGTTGCAGTCTTGATGAAGTCACAGTCTGTTTATCCCATGGTGTAGTTTTTCCTGCTTGGAATGTGCTGAAGTAACGACAAAGGGCAATATATTGCTGTACATATTTTCAGTAGGATTTATGTGTTTCATTTCAAGCCAGTTCTCCCTGTGTCTGTGTATTTTGTCAATATGCCTGTGCTGGGCACTCCTGTTGAGGCACTGAATATCCTGTGATGTCAAGGTCCTGGCTCCCACCTCCTGAACAGTTCAGGGTCTTTGTTTTTGGGGATTATGCTCTGGTTGGTTGGCACAGGTAAGAGAAAGGAGGTGCCTACAAATGTAGCACATTTTGGGACCTCAGCAGACAAAGGACCTCAGCAGACAAAGGTAGTGGTGCCTGAGCAGCTCTGCTCTCCTCTGGGCACAGCCAATGTTCCTTTTTTTTTTATACCTCCTTTTTCTGGGCAACAGCAGCTCCTCAGAGAACCCTGAAGAGGACCCTGGTAAGCAGATGGGTGAAGCCATCTCATGTGCTGCCTCACTGCAGAAAGGCTGATTAGTTCAGGCTGTATCATGACCCTGTTGAGGGAAGTTCCCTCCAGCCTTGCTCCTCTGTCCTTGGCTTGGCAGCAGCGTTGCTGTGTGAGGCCAATGGGCTGTGCTGGCAGAGAAGGGAAGATTGTGTGAGCACTTTAAGGTGTCTTCACACACAAAGTTGTGCTGGTGGTTTATGTTTCTGTCTGGAACGTTATTTTTATTTGCAGGGACCGGTGAAACAGGGTTTTGCATCCTTTGCTCTCCTTTTGCTTCCGTGTAGTGCCAACTTGGCTGTCCTTCTGCTCAGGTCTGGGATATGGGGCCACAGCCCACCTCACTGGTGGAAAGTCAGTGTGATTAGTATTTGTTAAATTTATTGTATGTGGGTTCCAAATATAGCTAGCTCTGAGCAGTCACTCCACAATGTAGTCTGTCAGTAAATTCAAGTTCTCCAGTGAGCTGTGTTGAAAATACAAAAGAGTGCTCTTGCTTATGTAAATACTGTTTCCTTTCTGTTTTGAGGGATCTACTTTGAACAGCAAGTTCTTATTGTCATTAACCTTTCTGGTGTCCTTGTAAATAATGTTAAATAAGAACCATGTACAGCAGGAATCCTGGGATTGTTCATGCGAAATATATTTAATATTTTCCAAAAAATGCTTTACAAATAAAATCTCTTTTTTTTTACAATTGTGCCTTCTGAAGGAATCTGTTGTTCTTATTTTTGCATGTAATTTGGAGCCTCTTCTACCTGCAGGAGGAGAAGGTGGTGAGTGCTGTCAACACTTGGTCCAGTATGATTACATAGAGGCATGATGTCTTTAAACTAGATTAAACAAGAGAATCTATATATAATGAATATAGCCTTTTTTCCCCTTTTTCCCAATAAAAATCCCCCTACCACCATACTGTGGTGTCTAGACTCTGAGAACTCCCTGAAAAGAAGAACAGGAGGAGCCAGATCTCCCCTTTCCACAGGGGATCATTTCCTCACTTCCAAGCAGCATTCAGATGGGCTCCTCATGCATATTCCCTACTCAGAGAGACACAAACCCAGCAAGTGGGACAGAGAAATAAATGGTTGAGGGTAAGATACTCAGAAGTCTCTAGGTAGCTGGCTCCTGTTGATATCAGTGGGATTTAAGCAGTTCCCAGATCAGGGTCTCTATGACTGAGGAGAGGCACTTTACCTGTTTCAGACTCTCTTTTTTTGCCCTGGAACTGACTGACACTATGACCCAGAAAAACTTGAGCTGCTCTGGCTTCAAGAGAGAGGGAGGAGCTGGTGCCTGAACAGCAGAGCTACACAAGTCTGGTTTCCCAGGGGTTGAATTCCTACATGCTCTGTGCCCCATCACTGCTGTAACACACCTTCCCATTGCTGTGGCTTCCCCTGCCCCCAGTCCATGGTCATTCCATGGCATCAGCTTTTCTCCCACAGTGCCTCCATTCTTGCCTTCTCCATCTCATCCTCTAAATCTGCATTTGTAAGAAATGGCATAGTCTAAAGTAAGGGTTGAGCTTTCTCTTAGTACAAGCAGCATAAAAAGTCTCTGATTTCCACCATACTGCAGTGACCTTGAGACCTCTGGGCCTCTCTTCAGAGACATCCGTGTTGTCTCAAGTTTAACTGCTTGGACAAGAATTGCAGAAGTTTTTTGGAAGGTCAGCAGCTGGATAGCCAGATGGGCTGGTAGAACCATTGTCAGCTCAGTCACACAGGTCTTGTCACCTTAGAAATAGTTTTTTTCAACAAGGATTTCTGGGGCCAACACCTTCTGGGATGTAACACCATACTTACCCCTGGGGTGCTACTGTTGTTTCCCATCTGAGAAGCAACCTGGGAGCTCTCCTGCCTCCTGTTTCACTGAACCCTGATGCAAACCCCTCAGCATTCCACTCTGATGTAGGTGATTGGGGTCTCTCACCACTTACGGGGTCAGTCGCGTGGGAGGAGAGGAAAGTGTTTTCAAACAGAAGAAATTCTGCAGATACACGTGCAGAGGGGAGGAAGGTTCTGGGGCAACTCACCTCTGGGACTGCTGGGATTTTTAGCCCAGGGGGATGCTATAAAAAACAGTAAAAATTAGAGGTAAATTGCTTAAGTTCATAAATGTGGAAGATAATAAAATGAGTGGTCAGCGGAGAGTTAAGAATGTTAGAAAGCATGTATGGTAGGACAGCATGAAATATGTGCCTGAAAGCAGGACACTGACCAGCACACACCAACTGGAGCTTAATATATCCCCCATTTTTTGTAGAGACAGGAGAAATGTAGCCAGTTAATGATAATACATTTTGCTTCTGTGAACCTCTGCAAGATGTGGCCTCTGGAGCCTTTGAGCTGGCATTCAATTGGGACTATCAGGTAATGTTCACCACACATTTTAAGCTTCTACCTTGTTTTGGAACAATTCCAGTATTTGGATGTTCCAACAGTTCCTTATGATTTACTTTGTAATAAAAAATCTCATTTGTGGATCTCATCCTCCAGTGGGTGGTATCAGTCCCTGCTGCTCAAGCCTTTAGCTAACTTCTAAGTACTAGTCACTGAACCTACCAATCCCTTCGTGCATGCTGGGACCACCAAGGTCTTAGGGAATATTGTGTTCTGTTCTTTTTGGAACCCATAGCAATGTCCCACATGACCTCCTGATGGGACTGAGGCCCCAGCCAGCCTCTGTCCTCTGTCGTGTCATGTGGTGGCCGTGGAACTGATGAGACGAGACTCAAGTCTTCTGCTGATTTTTCAATAATTTCCCTTTGCCACAATTTATTATTCCCATTGCTGTCAATAACCAAAAGCTTTGCTCCAGCTTCATGGGTATGTTTTAGACCTTGTGGTGAAAATGATGGTACTCTGAAACCAGGACCGTGCTCAGTCACTGAACTACAGTCCCATGGGCACAGGCAGTATGGGACTGGATGTAGCCATGCTGTGGAAGAGCAGGTCGTGCAGTTGCCATCTTCTATCCAATTGGGATTATGTAGGCCATGCTAGGAATTTCCCTTAGTGCCCTTGTCATTGTAGACTCGTGATGGAGAGCAGGAACAACACCTTAGAAGGGAGGAGAAAGCAACAGGACATGCTCTCAGACTTAATAAGACAGGCCTGGGAAACACTGGGAATGTCTTGTCTCCCCTGCTGTCCCCAGCCTGTGAGCCAAGTGCCAGAGGAACAGAAGGAACTGGCTGGTGAGCACAGGGAAGCCACAGAGCCAGAAGTTCCCTCTGCAGAGAGCTGGCTCTACCCTGTGCTGACACTGGAATGAGACACTAAAGGTTCTAAAGACACTCAAGTCAGACAAATTAGCAACAAGAGGGGTCAGAGCCACAGATTATCTAAGCCAATAGCATATTGTGCCTTACCCAAGCTTAGCTGCTTGCTTTCCTCTTCTCAAACAGCAAGAAAATGCTGTAGGACTTCAGCACATGCTAAATATTTGTTGGTCTATAGAGCAAGGAGTGCTTGTGTGCACTCAGCATGGCCTGGAAAAATGAACTGTGGGATTTGGGTCTGCACAGGACCTTGGCAGTTGGTGCCTGGAAACGTGCACGAGCTGCTGAAACATCAGCCAGCAGCTCCTCAGGGCCACATTACCTGCACAGGATTATTGCCTGGCTTTACTAGGGACCATGGTTAGTCCTTATGACTAACTTTGTAATACAAAAGCTGCTGACATCTGCTTTCAAGTGTAATAGTGTGGAAATAATCTAGGAATAGAAACATTACCGTTAGTAATCCAAGCAGACCTGTGTCATTTTAGTCACTTTTATGAGAGCTGGGCTGTCCCAGGACATTGCATTCTGGAGATCCAAATCAATAACATGCCTGTTTAGCTACCATTAAATGGATCAAGCTGGTGTATCCATCTGCTGGAAACACAGTTTTCC